CGTCCTTGTCCCTTGCCCCAGGCTGCACTGATGACATCGTCACCAGCGACCACTCCCCTGTGTTTGGGACATTCGAGGTTGGCGTAACCTCTCAGTTCATCTCCAAGAAAGGTGACCCTCTGGATCTGTGGATGTGGCATTCGGCCGGGTGGGCACAAGCAGTGGCTGGGATGTGTGTAGGTTGGACTACACATACGTGCATGTGTGTTTGGGTGCATGTACATGTGAGTGAAGTATTTCTGCATGTGCGATGTGGGAGGGTGTCTGTGCCAAAGCCACCATCAGAAGTATGTGCCTAGGAGTGTGTGTGTGTGTGTAAACATCTATGTGTCTGCATCTGTGTGGGGCCAACAGTGTGCCTGAGTGTGCCTGGAGGTGCGGCAGGTTGTAGGTGAGGAGGCCCACAACCCAGCCCCCTCTTTCCTGGGTTATTTCTTTTCTGTGTCCAGGATCTGGGCTTGGGGGTTTCCCAGTCAGTGGTTTGGGATGGGGAGGCCCCTCCTGGCCTTACCTCTTCCTATGCCAACGTGCCCCATTCCTCCTGTGATGCCCTCATGCCCTCCCAGCCATCCTCACTGCCCTTCTCCCTTGCTCCTCAGGGCTCTCAAAGACTTCAGACCAGGCCTATATAGAATTTGAGAGCATCGAGGCCATTGTGAAGACAGCCAGCCGCACCAAATTCTTCATCGAGTTTTATTCCACCTGCCTGGAGGGTCAGAGACAGGCCCGGGACTGGGCTTGGGCCAAGGGGGCCGGGAAGTGAGCGGTGCCCAGAGAAGTCAGCCTTTCCTTAGGGGGAGGGGAGGAGGGTGTGTTACTCAGTTGGGTGTCCCCCACCTCTACCCAGAGTACAAGAAGAGCTTCGAGAACGATGCCCAGAGCAGCGACAACATCAACTTCCTCAAAGTGCAGTGGTCCTCACGCCAGCTGCCCACGGTGAGGCTGTGCGCAGGGCCCAGGCCTGTGACTGAGGGCACAGGGAGGGGCATGGAAGAGCACACTGGGGAGCTTCCTGGATGAGAAGACATGGCCGGCAGAACCTGTGTGCCTGGCTGGGCGTGCTCACTGGACGTGAGGATAAGAGCACCTACTCTGCTCGGGGGTGTGGAACCAGTCACGGTGTGCTTGTCCCTTTGCTTGGTCCTTGCTAAATGTCAGGTCCTGTATTTGCACTGAGGATGCAGATGCTAATTAGTGAGGGTGACATTAGGTGCCATGAAAGGCCCACGCAAGGCTGTGTCTTCTACCTTAAGGATGAGTGCTCGTTCCTAAGAGCTGGGCGTGAGCGAGCCTGAAGGTCGGGGTGGCGGGAGGGCAGAGGGGCTGGCCGGGCTTGTTTCTCACTGGGCCTCTCCACCCCCCACCCAGCTCAAGCCAATTCTGGCTGACATTGAGTACCTCCAGGACCAGCACCTCCTGCTCACGGTCAAGTCCATGGACGGCTACGAATCCTACGGTGAGGGCACAGGGTACTGTGGGAGAGACAGAGCTGGGCAGGGCCCTAGAAAGGCCTGGGAATCTTCTGGCCTATCCCTTCTGCCCTCCAGGGGAGTGTGTGGTGGCACTCAAGTCCATGATAGGCAGCACAGCCCAGCAGTTCCTGACCTTCCTGTCACACCGTGGCGAGGAGACCGGCAACATCCGTGGCTCCATGAAGGTGCGGGTGCCCACGGAGCGCCTGGGCACCCGTGAGCGGCTCTATGGTGGGGCTCCATAGAGGGCTGGGGGGCATGAGGTGGGGTGCTGTGGACCCGTCTAGGAGGGGCGGGCCCAGGTGGGGACTGGGGCCCCTGGGACACTTAGGAGTTCTGCAGCATAGCTGGGAGTGATCCTTCCCTGAAAAGTAGCTGGGAAGGGGCTGGCAGGCATAGTGGGTGTTGGTGGGATCCAGCACCCTAGGTCCCCTCTGAGTCTCCCCCTCTCCCCAGAGTGGATCAGCATTGATAAGGATGAAGCAGGAGCAAAGAGCAAAGCCCCCTCTGTGTCCCGAGGTAGCCAGGAGCCCAGGTGAGATGGGCTTTGTTGGGTGTCGCATGAAGAGGTCTCTGGGGGCCTTCCATCAGCCTCACTTATTTCCCCTGACCTGTGCACCCTGGCAGGTCAGGAAGCCGCAAGCCAGCCCCGGCAGAGGCCTCCTGTCCACTGTCCAAGTTATTTGAAGAACCAGAGAAACCACCACCAACGGGGAGGCCCCCAGCTCCGCCCCGAACAGTTCCCCGGGAGGAGCCCTTGACTCCCAGGTAAGAGGAACCTGTCATTCCCCCCTACTCCATCCAGCACTATGCTTGGCTCTCAGGGCCAGCCTGGGGAGCAGCTGCCATCTTGGTGCCGTGCACCCTAGGGCTGGAGGTGCCATGGCCCTATGCCCCAGGCCACACTGGCCAGCCAGGCCTCCTAGGTGTGGCCTTGTGAGTCAAATGGAGCACAGTCAGACTTTCCTCTCAATTCTGCCTTTAAAATTGGAATTAGAAATTTTTGAAACAGCTCCGTCCATGTAAACAGATCTAACGTGAGTCTTCTGTTGGGAGACAGCGTGTGGCTCAGCATGGACTTCCCAAGTCCATGGAGCTCTGTCCTACCAGAGGCTCCCTAGAAAGGAATGTGGCCAGATACCTTTGGGAAATGCTTCTTACTAGTCTTTCCTTAGATGTTCCCAGCACACATTAGGATTAGCACGTGGACAGGAAAGAAACCACTTTTTAACTCGGTTTAATACAGTGCCCCAAACTTTGTGGACCAGGAAACTTCTTTTCCATGAGCTAATTTTTAATATTCAGGGACCTTGTGTTCTATGGGTCCTACTTGCTTCCTGATTATATCCAGTAGTGACGTGAACTTAAATAAATACTCCCGGGTAGAATTTGGTGCCTTTCCACGCCTCTGCAGCTGATACCCGTCACCTGGGTTTATCCTCAGGCTTGCGTAAAATCAAGCTGAATCCCTGAGTAAGATTCTGCAGCAGATCGGCCCCCCAGATCCCTCTGGAGACTTCCCGCATCTGGCCACTAGAGGCCTTTATTGCCCTGTGGGCTGCTGGCACCTCTGCTTTCACTATTCAGGCTGTTTTCACAGTTACAGACCAACACACAAAAGGTCTTAGCAAGTGAGGCAAGGGGATGTAGGGTTGTCCACTCAGCTCCCCCACCCTGACTTTACAGATGAGCAGACCAAGGGCAAGCCGTGTGCTCGAGGTCACGCACATGCCAAGGATCCATGGCCCCTGTGCCTACTCCAGCCCTGTTCTCCCTTTGCTAGCACCCATCGCCTTTGCCTTGGGTGTCTTGGCCTTTAGTTGTCTTGCTCACAAACCCAGGTTGAAGCCAGAAGGGGCTCCTGAGCCAGAAGGAGTGGCAGCTCCCCCACCCAAGAACAGCTTCAATAACCCTGCCTACTACGTGCTTGAAGGAGTCCCGCACCAGCTGCTGCCTCTGGACCCACCTTCACCAGCCAGGGCCCCTGTTCCACCTTCCACCAAGAACAAAGTGGCCATCACAGTGCCCGCTCCGCAGCTTGGGCGCCACCGGCCGCCTCGTGTGGGAGAAGGGAGCTCATCAGATGAAGAGTCTGGGGGCACGCTGCCTCCTCCAGACTTTCCCCCTCCTCCGCTGCCAGACTCGGCCATCTTCCTGCTGCCCAGCCTGGATCCCTTGCCAGGGCCAGTGGTCCGGGGCCGCAGTGGGGGTGAGGCCCGTGGTCCACCACCTCCCAAGGCCCATCCAAGGCCCCCACTGCCCCCAGGCCCCTCACCCACCAGCACTTTCCTTGGGGAGGTAGCTAGTGGGGACGACCGGTCCTGCTCAGTGCTGCAGATGGCCAAGACACTGAGTGAGGTTGACTATGCCCCTGCTGGACCTGGACGCTCTGTGCTCCTCCCGAGCCCCCTGGAGCTGCAGCCACCTCGAGGGCTGCCCTCGGACTATGGCCGACCCCTCAGCTTCCCTCCACCCCGAATCCGAGAGAGCATCCAAGAAGACCTGGCAGAGGAGGTGTGTGGACAGGGTCAGCTGGCTGTGTGCACCTGCGAGTATGCTTCTGTGGGCGCGACGGCCTTGCACGCCACCATAAAGCACTCACTGGTGTCCCCCCTGCCCTGAGCTGGGCCCTTGGGAATCAGCCCCTTCCTTGCCTCCCTAGCATGCGCAGAATGGAGCTGCCCGCGGGTGTCTGTGTGGGCTGCGCCCTCAATCCTCCCCCTGACATGCCCTGTTCCCTCAGGCTCCGTGCCCGCAGGGCGGGCGGGCCAGCGGGCTGGGCGAGGCTGGCATGGGCGCCTGGCTGCGGGCCATCGGCTTGGAGCGCTATGAGGAGGGCCTGGTGCACAATGGCTGGGACGACCTGGAGTTTCTCAGGTGGGGGCGGGGCTGGAGGCGGAAGGGGTGGATCTGCCCTGGGGGCGGGGCTACGGGCCCTTCAGGACCCCCCACCTCCCGCCCCAAGCCCATCTCCCATCCCCTCTTATTCCCACAGTGACATCACCGAGGAGGACCTGGAGGAGGCTGGAGTGCAGGATCCGGCTCACAAGCGCCTCCTTCTGGACACCCTGCAGCTCAGCAAGTGATAGCCGAGTCTGAGTCCGTTTGTGAGGCACCAGGAAGCCGCAAACTCAGAGCCCCCCCATCTAGGAAGGCCGGCCTTTGGCCCTGGGGTTAGACGTTGTGAGCGGAGGGATGGAACCTCCGCCTATTTATTGGGGATCTGCGTTCCCCACTGCCCAATCATTTGGAATGCCCTAATTGGGACGTCGTGCCCTCACCTTTTGGCCCCGGGGTGCCGAGGTTATTTGCCGCCTTATCAAGGGCCTTGGTTATTCTGGTGCAGTTGTCTTTTTTGGACCCCCATCCTCCCAGTCCAAGGGTGCCCTTGGGGGTCCAATTGGGTACGTCAGAGCCCCCACTCTTACTGCTGTTCCTGTGGCCCTCTGCAGAGGCGCTCTGCCAGAACCTCCCCAACTCCCGATTGGGCGGGGGGGGGGGGGGGGGCTGTGTGCGCGCGGGAGGTGGTCCTGTTCGTCCGTCCGGAAATGAAGGAAAAGCCCGGGGACCGGGGACCGGGCTCGGGTTTATTTAAGCTTTTCTCTGTGGGTTTGGGGAGGGAGGGCGCTTTAATATTATTCGGTGGCGGGGGTGCAGGATCTCAGCTATAAAGTGTCCGTTTGCTTAGTTCTGTTCCCTGGTCTACACCACCCTGCGCTGGGGAGCGCGGTGCCCGCTCGCTTGTCGCGCAAGCGGGGACAGGGCTCTTGCAAGCAGTCTGTCCCCACCCTGGGCACTCAGGAGCGTTGCTGGCGTGATGTCTTCAATAAATTAAGTTTTATTTGGATTGAATAAAACTCACCTCAATAAATTACAAGTTTTTCAAAGAAAAAGGAACAGAAAAAAAGGTCGGGAAAAAGGAAACTCCTCAGTCCTGTGCCCGGGCAGCCCCTCCCCTCCAGCAGTCTACGTCGGCGCCAGGTCTGCTGGGGACGGGAGGGGACCCTTCAGGCCGCTCTTATCCCAGCGTCGCCCCTTGTTCCGGGCGGTGGGGTTGGGGCAGGGATCAGTTCAGGTGGGCCCCAGGGTGAGGCAGCGACCTTTCGGGCACTCGTGTAAGGCGCGGTCCTGCCAGCCGCAGAGCCGGGGAGAGGCCGCGCTGCCCTCGGTGGGCACCCTCTCACTTTGGGCACTGTTAGGGACCCGCGCTATTCGATCCCGGTTCCTACGAAGGCGGAGCTGGAAGGGGCTGTGGGCTCCCTTGGAGGCGGTCCGCCCGCGCCCGGGTGGAAAGTAGCCCGCTCTGCCAGGAGGGGTGGGCGAGGATCAGAGCGGACCGGCCTGGTCTCCGAAGCTGGGGAGCGCGCCTAGGGGGCGTACATCGGGGGAGGGGGGACGGAGGAGACTTCCGGGCGGGCGGCCGGGATGGGGAGGGACTCTGTCGGGTCCTGGAGGGGCAGGCTCGGAGTCTCCAGACACCGGCGGCTAGAAGAGATTGGTCTTCAGGGCCGGGCCGGGCTTCCGGTGAAAGGAGGACAGAACCCCCGAGCAAAACAGGGACAATAGGCACACCCCAAAAGCACCCCCAACTGAAAGGCCTCTTGAGAAATGTTCATAAATATTTTTGTTGTAGCCACAACCGGGCGCGGGCGGCGGCGGCAGCGAGGCGGTGCTGTCCGGCGTGGGGCTGCACGTGGACTCCTTGGAGTCGTCGTCCTCGGACGAGCAGCGCGCCTCGCCCTTTTTGGCGCCCGCCGCGCCCGCCGCACCCTTAGCGCTGGCTGCGCGCTCCTGTTTGCGGAACTTGGCCCGGCGGTTCTGGAACCACACCTGGGGGCACAGGGGCCAGTCAGCCCGGACCAGGGTCGGAGGACGCAGAGGGGAAAGCCGCGGCCGCAGCGGGGCGGCG